CAGGAGATTGTCCATCTCATCCCTTTCTCCAATGCTTGTGGTTCTCAGACATTTAGACAGAAATGTCAAGTAAAACAGACACAGACAGGTGGCCAAATAAATGGTCAGACAGACCTAAGCAAACAGCACCAGAAGGCACCTCCAACAGACAGAGACAGAACAAATAAGACAACCCAATTGAGGCCAGATTCCAGATTAAGAATCCTAATCTGCCTCCACTGGGGAGAGAGGCATCCCAATCTCCTCCGGGGCTGGGAGTTCTCCTGTATCCAGCCTCCCCTCTGACCCTTCCACTACACCTGGCCAGGCTTTTTCAACTTAACCTGTTGGGTCTTCGTCCGTCCCACGAAAGACGGACGGGGTCCGAGGAAAGGTAAGTGCGGCGCTCGCCCGTTCCCTAGCCTCCCTCAGCCCAGGAGACAATCAGACACAGCGGGGAGCCAAATCCAGCAGGTAGAAAAACTCGTTTATTAACAGAGAGCAGCCCCTTTTAAAGACAACAAGGGTGGGTGGTATGGTAAGGGAGGAAGAGGAACCAATCACTGTCAAGGTCACACCCTATCATTCACCTGAGCCCTCACGGGCTGGTTAGGCACTGATCAGAAGATCAATTGGGGTCTGCCCACTCAACCCCTCCCAGAGCCATCTTTGCTGCCCATGTGCTCCACAGATTCCCCCTTTTATTTTTGTTTTAATGGCAGACCCACCTAGCACAGTAATAAACATCAGTCCCACCACAGTTAGAAATGTCCGAAGCAGTTCAACTAATTCCTGGGCACCTGGTGTCTTTTAAGTACGCCAGTTCCTTGTATGTGCCTTTAAGCTAGCACAGGAGTCAAGATGACCTTTGAGCTTTACTGTCAGCTCCCAATTGCTCCCAACATCATCTCCCCCGTCTTTGCTTAAAGAAGCGAACCCGCCTGTCTTAGGTTGGGTGGATCGCCTTGTCTGCCTTACCCGTCATCGGGAACTTCTTCAGAGCGAAGCTGAAGGCCCTGTCTTAGGTTGGTCAGACTGACACCCCCTCTTACCCGTCTCTGGCTGCGATTCCTCTGGGGGGGGGGAATTCATTCATTTGGAGCTTGATAACTGGCTGGCTAAGCTCATAATGCAAGGAAGGCATAGAAAAAACCATCAGCAAAAGCATTACCAGGCCAGGAAATGTCACTACTAGTCCTTTAACCTTAGTGAAGGATGGGATAGCAGTCTTTGCCACTTCAGAGTCCAGAGGTAGGGATTGTTCTAATCCAGCTATTTGCCTGTGGGGTTGGACAAAATCTAAACTGGAAGCATAACAAAAGGTGGTTGTTTAACAATAAGTATGGATTCAATGCTGCTATACAAGCAATTAGTAGAAGAACAATTAAAGCAGGTAACATTAAAATAATTAACTAAACAGTCCATAGGGTGGTGATCAAAATGAAGGTCAGGCCACCAGCTCGAAGGGACAGCTTCTCTTGTGGTGCTCCTGATGATTTCTGCATTGCCAGCATTGATCACTGCCCAGGTCACCCGTTGAGGTTGATGCAGGTTCCGTAGGGATTCGGAGAGTCAGGACAGCCAACAGCTGGAGTATCACCATCTGCAATTGTTAGAGAACACAAGAGCTTCTCAAGGGCTGGTTGCCCTTGGGGATGGTTAATAATTGTCTTTCTGGCTTTTGTCTTTAAAACACAAGCCTCGGCCATGCTTTTTGTTGTTGTTGTTGTTGGTTAGCTTATTCTTGGGCATCCTCCTGTATAGAGGAAATGGGTAAAAACTTAAGGTTCCTGGCAGGGATCCAAATGGGAGCAGACTCCCCTATGGGGAAAACGCATCCAAATCCCCTGCCCATAGTAACTAGGGGGTCAGGTCCTCTCCATTGTTGTGTCAGGGGTGCTTCCACCTGACTTTCACTTGGGGCTTAGGGTTTAGTTGTCCCCAGTGCTTCTGAAATCTGGATTCAGTTGTCCCTTTTGAAAAATTTAAAAACAAAGCTATCTGTAACTGTATATGGGGGCTAACGCCCCCTTTTTTGTTTTATAGGCTACCAGAATACAAATTAAAGGGTTTTTGAATGTCCAGCATTTCCTTATATTGTAATTGTAGGGACAGAAACCCATGGCAACAGCCAATTGGTTTCCCCTAAAAGACTCTGAAGTTGGGTTATCCAGCAAAGGCTTAAGGGGGCTGGCCTGAGTCAAGGTAAGGTGGGTCCCGAGCACCTTAAAAGGAGCTACCTTTTGAATTTTATTAAGGGCTATGGTAAAACCCCCCTTTTTTATAGTATGTCGAGGACCTGGGCCAGAAGGCCCTCCAGGCAGCTTGGGTCTCGGTGCCCCAGAATTATATCATCCATGTAGGCATAGGCAAGGGAGGTATCTGAACCCAGCACAGGCCCTAAAAGTGTGGCCAAGTGTTGTTGACAGAAGGCAGGGCTATTGGCCATACCCTGTGGCAGTACCGTCCATTCAAACCTCCGGTCAGGCTGGGAAAAATTAAGAGAAGGTATAGAGAAAGCAAACTTCTCGCAGTCATCTGGATGCAGAGGGATAGAAAAAAAACAATCTTTAATATCAATCACAACCAAAGTATATTCTGAAGGTATAGCAGGAGTCCAGGGCATGCCTCTTAGGGGCGTTCCTACTAGCTTTCGTTTACCTTCCGTAGATCTTGGAGCATCTGCCAAGCCCCAGAGGCTTTTTGAATAACAAATCCAAGGACTTATACAAGGGCGGATATGCCCGAAGCTTATCTGTTCCTCCACCAGAAGGTGGAGGGCTTCAAGTTTAGGTTTGGTCAATGGCCACTGCTCCACCCAGATTGGGCTTAGGGCGGAGTCCGTCCACCAGGGGGACGGTCCAATGGGCCTGGGTCACCCTGCCACGAGGCTGCCTGGGCCTCACAGCAGGGGGGGTTCCTCCTTGCGTTAAAGGGGCTAGAGGATGCCCCTCCCCAAGCTTAAAGACTTCCCATCTAAATCAAATTTGTATCCCTCCCTGCCCCTGGGGTAGGGTATAGGGGGCGGTTTGCCCACGGGCCAGTTGGCAGGGGATTGTTGTAAACAATCCCTCTTAAAGTGCCCTTCCTGCCCCCATTTAAAACAAGTCCCTCTCCCCGATGGCCTTGGGGTTCCTTGGCCCTGGGCTGCCAGCGCCTGAGTAATGGCCTCAGTCATTGTAGATGCCTGAGCCTGTAAAGCTAAAGCTAGTGATTGGGACTGGTGCTGTTGCGTTCCCACATCCTGTGAAGCCACCACCCATCTGCTCAGGGAACTCTCTCTCAATCCCGTGCAGGCCATGCGGTGGTCTGCATTCCCTTCCCAGACCAGCAGCTTTACAAACTGATCTCGGAGGTTCCCTGTCGGCAGCTTGAGGTGAACACTCTGTTGGACTGGGTCTATGAAATCAGGTCGAGGCTCACCCAGTTTTTGTCTCACTTCTGCCATGGAGGACTCAGTAGGCCCATCATCTAGTTTGTACCACACGGCAAGTCCTGCCTGCCTCACCTGGTCACAGTACGGGCCAGGTATTGCGGCCTGTTGGATGCCGGTGGAGTACCCTTCCCCCTTCCCTGCTAGCATGGCATAAGTAATAGGTTTTGCTGGTTGAGCCTGCCGGTTACTCTCTGCTTGCACTCTGCATTCCTCCTTAAAGAAAGCACACCATTTAATAAACTGAGAACTAGTGGTCTGGGCCCAGGGAGAGTTTGGGCCATCCTCCGCCACCGCCTTGCGGAGCTCTTTAAGATCCTTAGCTTCCCATGGATACCATTCCAAGGGCCTGTTAGCCCCTGATGCCACATTGACCGGATACGCTTGGGGAAGCGAATCCTGTGGCCGAGAGTCTGGGCTCTTGGGTGGCCCTTCCTTTCCAGAGGAGGTCTCCGAGTAGGTTACTTCCTCAGCCCTTGGTCCCTCCATGTGGTAGGGGTCTGGGTTTTGCAAGTCCCTCTCGCAGGTCTCGTAGGGCGCCGTACCTCCCGTCCAATCAGGGGAATAGGGAGGGGGCCTAGGACCGTCCGGGGCACCTGAGTAGCTGCCTCCGCCCCTGCATGCACAGATAGTGCGTTCCTGGTTGAATTTGACCTTTTCCTTTTCCTTTTTACTTCCCAAGTCCTCCTGTACTCCTTCTAGGCCTAATGTTGCCTCCTCCTCCTTCTTCTGTGATATAGCATTACCCATATTTAGGGTTTCACTTACCCCGAGAGACCGCTTAGCCTCGGCCGGTATCTTTTCCTTTCGTGCCCCACGTTGGGCGCCAGATGTTGGGTCTTCGTCCGTCCCACGAAAGACGGACGGGGTCCGAGGAAAGGTAAGTGCGGTGCTCGCCCGTTCCCTAGCCTCCCTCAGCCCAGGAGACAATCAGACACAGCGGGGAGCCAAATCCAGCAGGTAGAAAAACTCGTTTATTAACAGAGAGCAGCCCCTTTTAAAGACAACAAGGGTGGGTGGTATGGTAAGGGAGGAAGAGGAACCAATCACTGTCAAGGTCACACCCTATCATTCACCTGAGCCCTCACGGGCTGGTTAGGCACTGATCAGAAGATCAATTGGGGTCTGCCCACTCAACCCCTCCCAGAGCCATCTTTGCTGCCCATGTGCTCCACATTAACCCTAGAGGTTTTTGAGTTCTAAGTTCCTGCTAGGAACTTCTCTCCACAGCCATCCCCTAGGGAGTGGCTCTTCTGGACACCAGTCCAAAGTCCCTGAACTCAAGGCCTGGAGTCCTGGATCTCACTGGGGCCTACATCTATTATATCCCGAATCCAAAAGAGACTCAATGAAACCAAGTTAAAGGACTGAGGAACTTTATTACCCCCACATGGGACCACTTCCTACCACCAGGAAAATAGGAGAGCAGTCTTGAGCTCAGGGTAGGATGTATTTTTATAGGGCTAGGTTACCTAGAGTTATATAGAAAAGCCATGCAAGGCAGGTTTGGCATATTTTTCATTGGTTACAGTTATATGACCTTTAATTTGTTCTTTTTGGTAATATCATATGTAATCATTTGTAATAGGCCACTCATAGTGGGACCACTCAGCACTGGTCTTCTATTGGTGGGCTTAAGGCCTTGTTACCGAGGTAAGCAAACAAGGTTACAGAAGCAAAACATGGTAGAAACATTGTCTTGAGTCACAGGAGCATAGGCAAAACATAATCTTGACTTGGTCAGCATGATCAATACTATCAAAGCTATTGACACTATTTTAGAAATTATTATTATTATAAGCTCCTAGCATAGCAATTTAATGCAGCTGGTGATAAGCCTCAGGTTGTCAATAGCCTTTTGTAAAGCTGCCAGTTTGGTAAACTTGAGTGAGGGAGCAATGTTCTTTTGCTTTTTGTCAAGGATGGGGAAGGGACAAAATCTGACGACTGGTCAGCCTTTGGGGTTTTTCTTTACCAGGAGGTTTTTGCCCTTTATCAATAATTTTGTTTTGTTTACTGATTTCAGTTTTGTACCCATAGCTATTCTTTTCCCAGGGAAAATGGGAGAGAGTGCATTTCTAACAGCAGGAAGGACTGAGGCCAGACAACAGAAGAAATTTCTGCCAGTGAATAGCAACTTGGATATTACAGAAAACCAAAGATCTGGTGTTTTAAAGCATTAAGCTGTTCATTGTAATCAAATTATCTGATTTATTAAAAATGTAAAGGATTATTGCAGTATTTTGAAGAGGAACTTTAGTTAATTTTCAAGTTTTTGCTAACACCAAAACTTGATGACTTTTCTTGGGAGTTTAAAACAACTCATTTATGTTTATACATGATGGTGACAGGCAGAAACTTACTGGTAAAACAAACTCCAGAGTCCATTTCAGGGGTTCCGCAGAGCAAGGGCACCTGGGGCTGAGGAATGTCTCTCAGAGGCCTTCCACTAGGTGCGCCCATGTGGCCTGTCCCCTGACACAAGAGTCAGGTCGTTACGGGGCTCATCCTGTTCAGGCGAGAATAGGATCTCACTGGGGCCTCCAGATGAAGTGGACTGACCCCCTGGACAAAGTCACAGACGCTGCCTAGTATCTTAAAAGATAGCTTATTCAATTGACCAGCCATGGTTCACTGTGTAGACTTTTCTTCCAAATAAATCTGTGCTAGTGTTTAAGCTACCTCTTTGCCTATCTTCTGTGGCTTTTAGGGGCCTAATAGCTATGTAACTTCTTTTGCTTTTTCTCATTCCTCCAATGTTAAGATACTAACTGAAAAGTTGAAGCTTATGGCACAAATGCAGTACAAAGAGCAGTGTTACTCAAAAAGGAATCCCCGAACCCAAACACGTGTTAATATAGAACCTATTAGAAACTCAAAAATTCTCAGCAGCCCCAGCCCCATTGAATCTGAAGCTACATTTCAAACTCCCAAATAATTTATATGCACATTACTGTTCATAAAGTAATGCTATAGGCTGGATCTTAAGTGTCCACCTAATGCCTGTGTTTTAAAGACTCAGCCCTTAGCTCCTTGGAGATGGTGCAAATGAGAATGTAAGACCTAGTGGGAGGTCTTCTGGTTATTTAGTGTGTCATGGGAGGTCTTCTGGTTATGTAGGGTGTGTCCTTGAAGTGAGAAATAGGACCCCAGATTTTTCTTGACCATAAAGTGAATAGTTTTCCTACACCATACACCCATCATGTCATCCCCATCCTCCACATAGGAGGCCTTAACACGGTAGGTCTGCCCAATTATAGATTGGAACCTCAAACTTTTTGAGCCAAAATAAGCCTTTCTAAGGGGACTACCAAGTATTTGTAATAACACAAAATTAATTCAAGCCTAATTGTAGAGAAGTCCCCAAAATATTTTCAAAATCTTGTATTCATAACATCACTGCTAAAGACATAAGTTAAGTAGTTTCTCACCATGCCTCAATGGACCACCTTGAGCACATACCTACTTTGCAGATTACTGACTAGCACACTGAGTGAACATAGCATTTGACTACTTGCTCTGCCGCTGCTCAGCTTTATTCCAGGAAAGACTGCAGAGCAAAAAGCAGATTGCAGAGGGAGAAGCCCAATATAATGAAAACTACCCTTGCTCACTAACAGGCAGGCTCACCACCAATGGGTGCCTATGTTTTCAGAATAAGTAAAGGGATATGCTTATGAATCAATGGTTAAACAAGAAAATAATAATAAACACTTCAGATTTGAAAGCAGCCCCCTCATGGAAAAGAATGAAAACAGAAAAGTTTGAAGATAGGTATATCCGAGTTAACATAATGCTTCTTCCATTCTAAGAATTTTTAACCTTGTTAGCACAGTCTTTAGTCTATTTTCTGTAAGTATTTTTGCTTACAATAACTTATGCAAAAGATATAAAAGGCAAACAAGAACCCTCAGACTGGAGCAAGAACCGAACAGATGGGGAACAGAAAAGGTGAAAGTGATGGAGATGAAGATGATTGAAGTATGTTCCATAAAGGTGCCCATAAAAAGGGGAAGAGTGATCAAATTCTGTTAAAAGTACACCTTGTATACATGGAAGTAACAATAAAATCCCTTTGTATAATTAATATACTGTTTTAAATTGTGCTTTTCCAAAGCTATCCCAAATAAGGAGTTTAAGTTCATCAGAGCCGTTATTGGAAATACCTTGATGTTTTCTCCTATATGACACCTGATATCCCAACTCGAAAGGAAGCCAGCAAGGCATAATTTACTTCTGAAGAAGTATCTGATACTGATAGGAAGCCAAGCAAGCAAGCTGAGCAGGCAGTCCACCACGTTTCTCACTCATCAGAACTTTGGGATCATAATCTTTCTTGCTCAGATAAACTTTCCAACGAGGAAAAACCAGGATATCTAGTCAAAGTTTGTCAGAAAAGCAGTCTTATCTTCTTGTAAGATAGCAGCTATCCTTTAAAAGGCAGTGTTTATGTCAAGCACTTTCGTAGAAAAGATTCTAACTCCTACAGTCCTGCCTTGTTTTATCTTTTTTCAAACCTAGTCAGCTTTAACAGACTTTCCCATTCAGCAGTATACAAAGGGAGAATATTTTGTTTTGCCCTCGTTCTTACAGCCACCAACAGAGGCATTGCTATGAAAACAAGTGCTACAGGCAAATTTGGACAGCACCATTCCTTTGTCTTCCAAATTATTGATCAACAAGCTATTAAATGGTTCACCTTTTGCCAGCCTTCAATCTATGTAAGGCCTTTGTGCAGCACTGGTGTCTAATCACCACAGAGATAATTCCCTTTCCAGCCTATATACCTAGAGTTAGTCTTTCAATGCCATCCTACTAGTGGCACTTAGTTGTTCTGATATTACCTTGATGGTGTCTAGTATAATTACCAAGGCTCTGCTGATAATAAATCTAATCCAATCAACTAATGGATCTAACCCAATCTACATTTTATAGGTATTCCCAGTTTAAAGCTAGAAATCAAATAGCAGGTTTTGATTAGGAACTCTTTGGGAGAGCCCAATAGCATCTACACAAATGTGACAGTTGGAAGACTCTGGGGATGAATCTCACTCCTTACTTGATGTCAGCATTTTCTCAACCTGGCCATTCTCAAATAGGTTGAGTAAAATGGATGTATGTTGAACCAAAGTGCAGTTTCCAACCCAGTTTGCCAGTAAGGTCTCCAATACTGGTCCTCTGCAATACCAGACACCTTTGTAGGATTTAAATAAAGTTGCTTTTGGATTGTATTTTTTCCTATGATGATCCAACTTTGCTCATTAATAGTTGGCAGGTTTGAGCTGACTGATTAAGTAGTGGGCCTGGCTCAACTGAGGTCATGTGGATCCCACCTCTTCAATTACCCTGGAAGATCCAGGGTATAACTAGAGTTTATCTTTACAATAGGAAATAAATGTACTCATTTTCTTGCTCATGTAACTGTAACCCATCTGCACATCATTTTTGCAATTAAAAAAATACAGAAAAGGGGCTGGGAAGGTGGCTCAGTGGTAGAACGCTTGCCTTGCATGTCTGAGGCCCTGGGTTCGATTCCTCAGCACCACATAAGCAAAAAGAAAACAAAAATACAGAAAAAAAGGAAGGTTATGACTTATCCAGGCTGACCTTGTTCTGGCATTCTAAGTCCTGACATGCATGCTTGATAAGGTCTGACAACAGCCCTCCCATTAAATTTTTTTTTGTTTTTACAAAATTGCTTAGATGTTAAATCATCCCTCGCTCCACCCCATTTTCCTCACCCAAGGCTGTTTGAAACTTTTTTTTGTCGGTAATGGGGCCTGAATTCTGGGCCTGGGCACTGCCCCTCAGCTCTTCAGCTCAAAGTTAGCGCTCTACCACTTGAGCCACAACACCACTTCTGGCTTTTTACTGCTTATGTGGTGCTGAGGAATTGAACCCAAGGCCTCATGTATGCAAGGCAAGCACTCTACCATTGAGCTACCTTTCCAGCCCTTAAATCAATCTTTTTTTTTTTTCCTAAACTTTTTTTTTTTGGTCCCATTGTGGGGCCTGAACTCTGGGCCTGAGCATTGTCCCTCAGCTCTTCAGCTCAAGGCTAGCACTCTACCACTTGAGCCACAGTGCCACTTCCAGCTTTTTTCTTATGTGGTGGTGAGGAATCAAACCCAGGGCCTCAGGCATGCAAAGCAAGCGCTCTACCACTGAGCCAACTTCCCAGCCCCCTTAAATCAATCTTGATTGGCCTATTATAGAACTATTCCAAAAACATGTACTCATCATTCCCAAGTTTCCTGTACTTGCTGGTTTTTCCTTTTATAAAACTTTCAAACTTACATAACATTCTTTTAAATATCCAGGAAAAAGTAATCCTATATGAAGTTTTTTTAATGTAATAGCAATAATAACTTGTTAGACCAGGAACATTGTAAATAACCAAATTTCAAGAACCTTTTGCTATTAAGTCAGTTAATTACTGAATGCCTGTAACAGATCCTTCTCAAGATATTTACACAGAGACAGGGATATACAAGATTTAACAAGTGCACATTAAAAATAGAGCTCAAAAATAAAAATCAGCCTTAAAACACATTTTCATTTCTTTCCCCACATTCTCCGTAAACGATGACAATATAAAGAATGTCTGAGGGCGCCTTCTTATCTCCAATTTTCTTGGGCTTCTTAGGTTTAGA